AAAATGTACCCCCACTACCTTGGTCCACACTGCAAAACGTAGTGGAGGTACATTAATGGCCATTTTTTTGTAGTACTGTTACGTTTCTTCTGCCTATACGCTTTCTATTGTTTTATGTCCTAGTCACGTGACTTTCAAGATTCCAGCTGGGAGAAGAAAAAAATATATATATATGGCCGACATTTGCTAATTTTTTTGTGGAAAGATTAATAACTTGAGTTTGTTTTTGCATTAAAATGAGTTTTGATTACATTTCTAGTGAGAAATGTATAGTTTCTTGCCAGAATATTTACTCAGGGAATGTACATATTCACTTGCTTGTTCGTTTCTTGCAAAGATTTTTCAAGATAATGTGAAACTGAAACGTTTTGGTATAAACATGGCTGAGATTTCTCTAACTTTTAGTGGGAAAATCAATAATTTCAATCAGTTTCTGCATTTAAATGGGTTTTGATTACATTTATAGCGAGAAGTGTAGGGTTTATTTACATAATATTTACTTAGTGAACATACATAATCACCCGCTTGCTAGTTTTTGCTATGTTTTTCGGATCTCGTCAGGATTATGTGAAATTGCAAAGTTTTGGCTGCTACCCATCGCCTAGCATTTAGCTGCCGCCCTGATTCAACATTGAATTCTTTGTGATTTAACTCCATCTGACGGATCAAACCCTCGCCACTGCGTGCGTTGCGTCTGAGGTTGATTTTCAGATCAATGCATTACGTCGTGGCAAACGGGAGAAACTAATTAAACTAGTTAAAAAAAGGATCATGGGTTAAGATCGGATGTGTTTTATTTGGAAATCTACCGGATCCTTTGTGCATTTAACTTCCTGTTTGGTGCGATCTCATTGATTCCAGATATGCTGGTTGTGTACTCTAATTGTTTTTTTTTTTTTAAGTTCCTCTTTGGTCAAAATCTGGTCAAAACCCATCAATGAGATCGCACCAAACAGGAAGTTAAATGCACAAAGGATCCGGTTGGGGCGACAGTGGCGTTGGATGGAGGAGTTTGCCCTGTAATCGAAGGGTTGACGGTTCAAGCCCCGACTCCGACTTCCATTGTCGTTGTGTCCTTGGGCAAGACACTTCACCTGCATTGTCTACTGATGGTTGTCAGAGGGCCCGGTGGCGCCAGTGTACGGCAGCCTCGCTTCTGTCAGTGAGCCCCAGGGCAGCTGTGGCTACAATGTAGATTGCCACCATCAGTGTGTGAGTGTGTGTGTGAATGGGTGAATGAATGTAGTGTAAAGCGCTTTGGTCAAGTCTCCTAACTTGAATAAAGGCGCTATATAAGTACATGCCATTTACCATTTACCATAATCCTGACGAGATCCGAAAAACGTAGCAAAAACTAGCAAGCGGGTGATTATGTATGTTCACTAAGTAAATATTATGTAAATAAACCCTACACTTCTCGCTATAAATGTAATCAATACCATTTAAATGCAGAAACTGATTGAAATTATTGATTTTCCCACTAAAAGTTAGAGAAATCTCAGCCATGTTTATACCAAAATGTTACAGTTTACAATAGAAAGCGTATAGGCAGAAGAAATGTAACAGTACCACAAAAAAATGGCCATTAATGTACCTCCACTACGTTTTGCAGTGTGGACCAACGTAGTGGGGGTACATTTCCCATGAGACTGGGTTGAGTAACAGCTAAAGGTGGTGCTACAAAATATTAACTGAATACAAGGGAGCCGAATAATTTTTCACACCCAATTTTTCAGCTTGTATTTATTAAAAAAAAAGTTGTTGTTGATTCTTCACAAAACATTACAATTTTGCCTGAAATGTGGCAAATGGACAAAAAGTTAAAGGGGAATTCTAAATACTTTCACACAGCACTGTAAGTAGTGCTTAAGGTCATTTTATTAAGTTATGCTACATAAAACCATTAAAGGAAGGAGGATGAATTTTATGATATGCATATCTAAGTTTGCACACAGGCTTAACCAAATGTTACCATACCAGCTGTATAAATAGAGCACTTGACAGCAGAGGTGTAGCTCTGGTTGGAGGCAGTTTTAAGTTACTCTAATGGTATTCCTAAATGATAGGTTGAAATGCAGAAGGATCTCACAAGAAACATGAAAATAAAATTTTATTTGTTTTTCCCATTCGTTGAGTAAATTGGTCTATCGATCTTTGAAGGCATTTCTTTTATTAAAAATGTTTTCTCTTACCTTCTGCAAGACATTTAGAGACCTTTTTAAAAGGGAGGGTTCTCATACATCTCATTCCCTATCCTTGTGTTCGTTGGTCTTTCTTTTCTCTCTTTGACCAGAATTTAGTTACAATTTGCAGCACTTTTAAACACCTTAAAGCACTCTAAACTGGGTTATCTTTACCCTGCATTAAATAGCTTCTTATCTCATTTCATTAAAATTAATATTACACAAATAAATAAGGAGAAAAACTCCACTGCTCAAAAAAATAAAGGGAACAGGTAAATAACACACAATTTCATCTAAATCAAAGGTCTGTGAAATCAAACTGTCCACTTAAGAAGCAACACTGATTTGCAATCCATTAAAATGCTTTTGTGCAAATGACAAAGACAAGCGGATAACAGACAACAATGGAAAATATTACTAGCAAGACGTACTCAATAAGGGAGTGGTTCTGCAGGTGGGAACCACAGACCAGCTCTCAGTACTTGAGCTTTCCAGGTGATGTTCTAGTCAATTTTCATAGTAGGTGGTGCTTTCACATTTGTGGCAGCTTGAAACAGACTTTACATCTCACACAAGGGTCTCGGGTAGTGTGGCTCATCCAGGATGGAACATCAATATGAGCTGTGCAGGAAGATTTGCTGTGTCTATCATTGTTGTGTTCAGAGAGTGGAGGCGCTACCAGGAGACAAGCCACAGCCAGGACATCATGTCTCGATCTGTTGTTATAGAATCCTTTATATTCTATCCAAATCCAATGGAGGTATTGTTTCTCAGATAGCGTACACAAAGAAGGAATTAAGGTTAATTTTTTACAAAATGTATTCCAGTTGTTTTTAACAAAATCATTGATACAAGCAAAAATTGCAGAGGAAGATCTCACATCTGTCAGGCCCTTGCGTCTTCTGCCATTTTCAGGGGAGAAACACACAGAAAAAGGCAGAGAGTTTCGGCTTTTTTCCCCCTTTTTATCTAAAAGTCAGCCAGCAAGTGTCCTCTACAGCCCCCCCGTCCGCATCTTGGCCCCATCACACAGCCTACAGAATTACCATAGAAAGTGTTGCTGGAGACTCTCTGGCCACCATATGTCAGCATAAGAATGTCCTTTTTGGCTGACCCACACAGAAGAGTGAACAGATATAGAGATAAACAAATATAACAGTTATAACAGAAAATAAAAATAGTCTTCAACAGATCCAACCAACACCATCACATTGTACCACAGACTGTTCAGGATTTGGCAGATGCTTTAGTCCAGGTCTGGGTGGCAATCCCTCTGCAGACCATCAACCACCTCATCAGGAGCATTCCCAGGGATTATTGGGAGGTCATAGAGCCACATGGAGGCCACACTCAATACTGAGGCTCATTTTGACCTGTAATAAGGACATTACATCAAAGTTGGATTAGCCTGTAGTGTGTTTTTCCACTTTAATTTTGTGTGTCTAGGCCTCCATAGTTTAGTGAATTTGATTATTGTCAGCTAATTCAACTTTCTACAGAACAAAGTATTCAATGACAACATTTCATTCATTCAGGTCCAGGATGTGTTACTTTAGTGTTGCCTTTATTTTTTTGAGCAGTGTATTGATTTATAAAGTGACATTTATGTGATTAAATCTGACAATTTTGATAAATGAATGATGGATAGGGTAATTAGGTCTCAAAGCATCTCCTCTTATAAGTACTTAAGAGAGTTCAGTAAATAAATCATTGGGGCTGGCAACATGGTCTGGTACTAAAGTGGCGAGTAGGACTGATGTTTCTCTATGCAGGAAGGACCTAAGGTTAAAAAGACGGCATAAGCAGAGTTTAACAATAAACTTTTAGCGTGTTGCAGTTATGCAAACTTGGTTTGATAAACTCTCAGAGTTTTATTTAAATCACATGGATATAACTTCTCACCACAAGCATTTGAAATGTTTTACATGTTCAGATTCAGTAGCAACCACAAGTCCATGCTCCTCTGTGCTCTCTTGCTTTTTTCTGAAATGAAGAAGAAAGTAAATTATAATTGGCTACTTTTCAGGAAACCCTACCTCTTGAAATGGTACTGTTTTCGACTGAGATGCGGCTTGTAACATTAGCAAAGCATCTTTAGCATCAAAGGAAGCCTGTAAAAAACAGCTTTTACAATGATACTGATTTTGAAACCATAATCAGAGATATAGAATACCAATCTCAAAGGAATTTTCCACTATACCTTTATGATTTTTGGTTGTTGTATTTTTAGTAATTTAGGCATTCATGCTTTGTCAGCCACATCTGTTCATCGAATATAGAGGCTTTATATATTTTTTTCAGTCATAAATATATGTATTACTTGATTAAAGTGTCTGAGTGAAGTGCCTTTAGGATAAACTTAAATGACTTAGAATCCATCTACCAGGTGGACAACTGTAGAACAACAGCAAGTATGTGGCAAATACACTTCCCAGATGATATTGTTATATTTCATCAAGTCAAATATAGTTTGTTTTAAAATATAAAAAAACAAATGGTGCCTTATATTTTGTGGTTTGTATTAATTCCCTAATTTTGAGGCTCTGATGTGCCATAGAGTACAGCTATGTCATGTTCAGTTTTTCTGCCACTTACATGACCACTAGGTTTGATGTCTGTGTTTGAAACAAGCGTGCATTACTGCATTTGGTGTACAACTTATAGAACAATTTGTAAAGTATTTTTACTTCCTGATTCAATCAATTTTTATGCTAGTGGAATATACAGTAATCAGGTGTGATGTGTTGTTTGTCTAAAAATGGACCAAAGTCAGACATTTTTTATTGCTTTACTTAATAATCTTTGTTTTGTCTTCAGATGCTGACGACTCTGGTTGTGTGTTACTGAACACATCAAGACGGGTAAGCAAAATTATTTATCTTCTTAAGAAATAAAGAGGTCATAAGGGGATTGTATGTCTTTGACAGGATACTGATATTACTTTCCTATCCCTTATTACTTTCTTTCTATTACTTTCTTCTTACTTTTTTACGTTCAACTAGAGATAAAAAGCAAGCTTCAATAGTGGCTATACAAATTCTGCTGTTAATTGAACCATTTTCAGAAAAAATTACCTAAAGTTGATTGCCTCTTATTTAAGACTCTTTTGTGGTAATCTTCAGTAGTAAACTTCAAACAGACTGATATTTGCATTTTTCGGGGGCAATGTAATTGCTATAAATATATATTCCATGCAGTAAATAGCACTTTAAAGTAGTTAGTTTTGAGTATTAGAGAAGATTTTACTTTGTTTACAATTTTTTTTCTACTGGTTCCCGTTTGGGGCAAGAAAACAAAACAAAATTTTTTTTGTTTCTTTCGTTGCTGCAAGGCTTGAAAGCTTTCTTGACGCTCTCTAACAGAAGAACATGTTGACTAACTGAAATCTGATTTATAACTCTAATTCAAATTCACTCTCTTTAGTTGTAAAACTATCAAGAACAGCCTAGAGAAATTAGAATCCACCAAGATGGCTCAAGGGAGTTGGGTATTAAAAACAAGAATCAAAACTGAAATCATGTTGGGGGGGAAAAAAAAAATGTTATTACAGTGAATGCAGTTTTGCATTACCTTCTCAAACCAGCTTTATTAATAGAGAACCTAAAACACCAATAAGACTAAACGGATTTACACAAAGTGCAAAAAAAGAAATACAGTGTTATTAGATGCATCCAGTAGAAACTAGAAACTGTCTTTACTTGCAAAGCTCCACATCATTCAGATACATTGCTGTTTAAAATTCATCATTTAACTTTTTAAAATTACTCTATCACTGGTATGATTTGGCCTCTATGTCAGCTATCCTCCTTCACCATTTTGGGGAGAGAAGGCCAAATGATACGCTAAGATTCTTTTCCATAATCTAACTCTGTCCTGCTTTATGCAGCCTTCATCACTGAACAATGCCTAAATAAATACAGTAACTATGCTGGGTTCTTATCATTTGATTATAAAAAAATTATTATTAACCCTTTTATTTATGCTGTTAAGGGGTTATGATTATCATCTTTTTGCTTATCACCAAGTTGGTTATGAATTAATTTCAGTTCAACTTGTTGGCACACCCAAGTATAACACAGATGTCTTTGTGTTTAACAAACCTATGTTTGAATTTGTCACACTTCATCAAAAACACAGAAAATTCACAAGCATGTCAAGATCCGTCCCCCTCACAAGGCTGTCAGTGATCTGGGTTTGCTGTGCCTTTTTCCTGCCAACAGCTTTGCTGGTCATTTTCACTAATCCTAACATTCTGTGCCACAGTTCTGTTTGCTTTCTCCCTCCTTCTTGTTTTCCCTCTTTTCATGAATTCGCATGGCAGCATTCACAATTTACCTGCAATAACTAGAACACCCTTCAGCCGACGTTTAGGATGTTTCCTGTAATTAGTTCAATGTGTATTTTTTATTTGAATGCAAAGCGACAATTATTTAAAACGAGTGTCTGTTAACAATCAGACCAGATGTAATCTTCGCTACAATTCTGACGGGATCGTTGTTTTTGATTGGTGTTAAATCAGCTCTAAATCCTGATATTTCTAAAAATCTTACTGGTGCAGACAAAACGGTCAAAGACCCAGCTGCTATCAGGTTTAAACAGCAAATATTTCTGTTTTATTTATATGTTTTGAAAGTCCTTTTCAAAAATAACTGCAAACGTTAGACGTTCTATGGCCTTTGTTTTGATGCTTGACTATTTTAAAAAGAACAGCAGGAGTACCACTTATCTTTAGAATTTCAGCCTGCCCCACAATCAATAAAACCGGGGTCTAGAGAGTGTCTGGGCTTTTAATCGAGCTTTGTTTGTCCTTCTGTTCGCTCACCCATCTGCATGTCATTCTGCACTTGTACTATTGGAATAAACCTTGGCTGAATAAAGCACACGTCTTATTAGTGTTTGACTGTCAGAAGGAGGGCCTTGACAAAATCTATAGGCGCAGACATTTTAAGTCATTTTTCACTTTTGTAGCATTTTACAATTCTGATGGTAAAAATACAATTCTGCATGATAATATGCCAATCTGATCTGCTATGTAATGGCATTTCATGTAGAGAGTGGCAGGTTTTTATTTCCACAGCTTATTAGATTATTGCGTAATAAACATCTTCAAGCAGCTACAAAGAGACTGTTAAACCTGCAACATATTTAAAACTCTATTCTTTAGTCCAATTTTGCAAAAGTGTTTTTTTTTTTTTTAGGTAAAACTGTCCTAAATATATCAGCATATAATTTTTTTGTCAGTTCTGCTGCTTTCCATGTTAATTTAAATCTGCATTTTGTGAATAAAGGATTTAAAGTCTGCAGTTTTTGCACAATTAAGATAAGACAAATACCCACTTTATAAAGAGTCAATCTATCAGATACAAATTTTGTTTGTTTTATTTTGTCAAATTAAAAAAGCCTAAAGTAAGAGTTACATACTTATGTTATATAAAGGGGTAACTTATTGTGTGTTTCACAACTTAAATATGTTCATATTTCTGTTCAGCCCACCTGACTCAATGTTTTATAGAACTACCAGCTTTGAACATCCGGAAACTGATATTTTATGTAACATACATGTGCACAAAATCATTCTGAAAAAAACGATCTACTTGAATAAATAATGCATCACTATTTAATGTGACATTTAAACTATGAATTAACTGAATGCAGAAACAATTCTCAGAAAATAATTGGTTAGTTAAATTATTTATCCCAAAAATAGAAATTGTTGTTCATGATTTTTTTTTATTTATTCAGGAAGTCTTTATTTGAAAATGTAACTTTTAATAAGTCAGATATTTATTTTTTAATGATGTATTTCCCCTTTACTTTGTATTTCATGATGACACTTTTTAAGTGAATGACGACGTAACTCAGCCAATCGGCATCAGCAGGTTTGACCTGCATACCCATTGGCTGATCCCAAACAGGAACTAGTCCTCTCTCCGGTATCTGGCTGATGCTTGCTAAGCCAACAACAATTGTTTGCTATCTTCCTTATTTTTTCAAGTATATATTTTTTTCACAAAGATTTATTTATTATATAACATGGTTGTCCATTCCTCTTTGCAAACTAGCGCTTGTTCAGACACATTAGACCTTCTGTTAATATCATATTTTTAAGTCTTGATCTAAACCTTTCTTCTGTAGCCACTGATCTTTATGTATTTATTGGATTGCTGATTGGCCGTTGGTAGTACGGGGTTGAAGTGAAGCCATCGGCCGCCATATTGGTGCTCCCTTGTTAGACCGGTCCTAATGTAAACAATATGTGCGCAACAGCATCGAACAAAGACTGTTCTAATTTTCAGGGGGACTCAAGACTCAAGTATTTCATAGCATAACTAGATTACTTTAATTTATAATAAAAAACCAATCAGCAAATCACATTGCATAGTCATTATGAAGTCAATGAAGTCTATAAATCATGTAATATAATATATTATACAAATCCATCACAATAAGTGGTATTATTATTCAAAATCCGTCTGAAAGCTTCATCCTCCTTCCTTATTCCCATTATTTTGTTTTCCGATTCTTTTGCACTAAATGAAATAAAAAAAAAAACAGATAACAAGCCTTAATTATATGTTTTTATTTATTTCATAAGCCCAGTTGTCTGAGCACAGAAACGTTTTGCACGTAAATGACGCAAAAACCAAAAGTGGTGGAAAACATTCTTTCTACACTCTCAGACAATGGAGAGCTTCATTACATTCCCTGGAAATTAACAGTAAGCTTTGAGAGCAGTGGATCTGTCAGCGCTTTAACTCAAGCAAACTTGCCAAATGCGTTATAGATTCGTATAGTTTTTATTATTCATATAGTTTTTTTTATTAGAGTTAACTGTAATATATTTAGCTAAATAATTATCAAATAAGGCCCTCATACATTCTCACATATATTCACAAAAATGGTTGATATACATGATTTAAAATGTCACTGTATATTCTTATTTCTCTCTAGATTTCTCAAATTCCCGATCACAAAGAAAATTAACATCCTTCAGTTCAAGGAAATCAAAGATTAGATTGATCTGGTTTTATGAACTTTGTCTTTGTAGATTATCATTTGTTTTGTATTGTCAAATAAAACATATAAGAAGAATTATCATTGTGAATTTTACATTATGGGTGACATATTTGTGTGTCTTCTCAGAAAGGAATAAGGGTAGAGAATGTGTCCAATTCACAGGATTTATTAGTGGAATCAACATAGTCAAAGATTTGCTAGATTAATTTGTTCCCTTGTTTTGAGACGAAGAAAATCTTCATTGATTGTTCTTAAAATGTCTTTTTCTCTTTTTTAAAAAACATTAAATACTATCTTAATGACCATTTGATAGAGGAATATGTTAATTAGTTTAACAGACAATAACAATCAAAAACTGGGGTGCTGCTATGGTGTGAAGGGAGAGGGTCTAAACCATTTACCAGCTGCTACAGGTTAGTTCCTGATCCTGCTGACCTTTGCTGAATGTGTTGCTTCCCTCTCTTGTAACCCACTTTCCTGTCCACATTGTTTGAAAAATAACAAAATAAAGGCCATTAGAACCTAAAAAAAAAAAAAAAAAAAAAAATATATATATATATATATATATATATATATATATATATATATATATATATATAAAAAGAAAAAAAATTAGTGACTAGAACTGTTACTCCTCCTGTATTGTGTCATTTATGTTAGAATCCACATTTTACCGGAATAATGAGCAAAATGTATCCTCTCAAGAAGCCATTTTCATGTCCAGCAAAATCAGTGTCCACACTTTGATATTGACAGAAAATTATAAACTGATACGAAACATCTGTAAGGTTAAAAAGGAACATTATTTCATTGAAGACGCTGGTTCTGTTGGTCATTAATAAACAACACAAAAAAAAACAACAACAAAAAATAAAATCTTCAAGGCCAGGTTTATCTTTGTATTTCATTTTAATTTTTAAATAAAGGAAATCCAATAAAGCAAAAAAGTGAAATTATTGTGGGTTTTTTTTTTTACCAACATGTTAATGAGAAATCCCAAAATACTGTGAAATCAGCCTCTGGCATGCTTGTTCTGGTTTCAGGTCAACCTCCCAAAGATGGCCGCCTTGATTTATGTGCCATGAGAGCCAATGTCATTATATGATCTGCATGATTAGGGACAATTTCCTCAGAATATCTTGTGTTTTTAATCCCTATATAAAAATCAGGACTATGAGTGAAAATGAAATACATTTTGCACCATGACACAGAGGACTTGCAGTTCGGGCTAGAATTGCTCTCTTTACAAGTTTTTTTCCAGTTATGTTTAGTGCAAAAAAGTTTAAAGTTTTTTTTTGTTTTTTGTTTTTTTTTGTTAGTTTTTTTCAAAACAAAAAACCAAACTGCTTGAATATACATGGACTCTGTGGCTTTAAGTCAAGTGATGATATAAGTAAATCTCATCCACAGTATGTGAAGCTCATGAACTTTGAGGAGGAGGTTCGGGCACACCGGGACTTGGATGGCTTCCTGGCAAGGGCTAGTATATTGTTGGATGAGACAGCCGCCTCCCTGGATGATGTTCTCAAGAGAATGCTGCATCACGTAGCCGAGGACAGCCTCGTGTGTGAGCCTGGGTGCAACTTTGAGGAGGTGATGAGCATGCTTTTCACAGACGCAGGAGCTCAAGAAGTCAACGGTAAGCAGAAACTATACATCAAGGTTTTAAACGCTGTATGAGAAAGCATGCAAAAGTAAATACAGTAACAATTGCAAGGAAAATTAAAGAAGACATGTTACTGTCACATTTAACAAATAAACATACATTCTGATCTGGGTCGCTTGTCCATTAAAAGGGTTTTTAAAAATAAAATTCCTTAGGCTAATATTTAAATATGCATTTCTGTATTGGAACAGCTTTTTTTATTGCTCTAACATTTCTATATTAAAATGGAGCTGTTATTTTTATGTGTTTGGTTAGCTGTTAGTGGAAAATAATCATTAACAGAAATAATGACTTGAAGACATCAGTGCATGTGTAATGAACTATAAAATGTGTTTCCCTTAGTGAGTTGAGTTTGTGAAATAAATAAGCTTAACGTTTATTTCCTAATTCATTGAATATGGCTGTAACTTTGTAAAAAGTAATGTGAAAAAAGTAGAAGGACGTTAGGGTGGCAGAAATTTAGGACAAGGAGATGAAAGTAGTAGGAAACATGTTACAGTGATAACAGTTCCCAAAACGAGTTATAAAGAGAGCCCTTCAAAATAGGAAAAAGGGTGAAGTTTTTAACTGTGTTGCAAAAGAGCTAGTATTTATATATTAACAGTAAAATAAATGTTGCCCAAAAGTTTAACCGTTTTTGTCGCTCTCTTCAGGAAGGAAAATTCTTATATGCATTTTTTTATACAAAGAGTGAAATATTTCAAATCTTTCTTTGTCATTTCATGGTTATGGCCTACAGATCATAAAAAACACAATTAAAAAAAATATATATTTTATAAAACTGGGAAATAAATATTGAACAGCAGAAAAAAGGAAAAGATGTGACAGAAAGAGGGAGAACTGCATCATGAAGAGGATTGTCTATCTAAATCCTTTCTAGAATTTGGGGAAGCTTTACAATGAGTGGACTGAAGGTGGTTCAGCACATAAAGACTCACATTGTACAAATCACTCCTATACTTAGGCTATAAGTGTCGCATTACTCGGGTCAAGCAGCATCAGAGCCGTCATTGATTCTGTAAGTCTGAAAACCCAACAGAGAACCCGGATTGAAACAAAGCTTATTTGCAACGTCTTCTTCTTGTTATATACATATATATTATTATTATATTTATATATATTCTTTTTGTTCTGAAAATCCCTCAACTGAGAGCAAAGTAAAATTCCAACCAGCTCTACATCTTCCCCATCCTGTCCCTCCCCTTCTGTATTTACCTTTTGTTTCTCGGTTGTTTTTTCAAATGATAATTCTTAGATACAATTTGATTCCCAAGATGCTAATACTTTAACTAATAATAAATATTATTGTTGAAAATAATATTTTTCGAAAATGTATTCTTGTTATAGCTTATATTGTTGTTTCTGCATTTATCATCAAAGTAATCAAGGAAGCACATGTATGTATGACAAACGTTTTTATGGGTGAAGAAAGCCATGTGGAAAGAAATTATATAAACTTTTTTCCACATTTATTCAGCTGTTTCAAAGAAAGGTAACCTACTAAATGTATTTTAGGCAGGCCTGGCAGTAACCAATAAAAAAAGGCTAAAGATTTCAATTCAAACATAGATTGTCACAAAAACAGCTCCCCAGATACGGATTATAATCTAACATTTACATATTGATTAAACAACCACAAATCAGAAATGCCAGATAACATTTAATAATATTTTTTCTTTCAGCAGAAAACAAGCCTGCACCTTAGAAGAGGTGAAGCAGAAGGATTAGGATAACTTTCAAAGGAAATGTATTAAAACCTTACAAAGCTAGAGAAAGCCTTTCATCTAGTGTTTCTCTTCCAGTGATTTTTTTTTGTTATTACAGCAAACTGCATAGCGGGGGAGTTTCTGTCATAGTTCACCTATGTCCAAGTGATTGTAGAACTTGGACTTCGTGTGGAGGATTGGGCTGAATCCCTGCTCAACAAGATCAGTGGTCAGCAGCAGCCTAGTTTTCTCCCGGAGAGCCAACTGGCATGTTTTTGCCCACATGTTACCCCAGCCAAGAGCTGAAAGCGTAGCCAGCTCAGTGTCACAATGAATATCTAGGAGATACTGGCTGGGGTCTGAATTCAGCCTGGAAGCTTGGTGTGGAGAGGCCTTTAATCCCATGGCACGAGAATGCATGTGCAATAAAGAAAATAATAATAATAATTTGAGTTAACAAAATGTATATTTTTCCAAAAATGTAAATAGTTTCTCTATATATTTAATAATGGAAATTATTACAATTTTACATTTAATTCAATTTGCAGCTTTTTATGCTGTAAAGATCAAAGCAACTTGTAACTAAAACAAAAATGCTAACTCCTTAGATAAAGCTAAACATATTTTCTACCCACTATCCTCAGATATCAAAAGATGAATAAAATTATATGCTGACCCAGTCCTGCATATTGACCCTCTACCTGGCGTTGCTTTGTTTTTTTTAGGTCTCTGCTCTTTATTGGTTTTATTTCTCCTTTCGTCATCATTTCCTCCTCGTCTTGTCCCTTCCCATCTGTCTTTTCCTCCACCTCCTCACTCATATCACTTTATTCAGTCCCTCTGCATCAACATCAGTATGACCACTGAGGCCTGAGGCCCATACCACGAAGCGAGCCCAACCTAGTTTATCCTATCCAATTGCAGTCAGGTTCAGCTACACCGCAAAGCGAGGTATCAACTTGTTAACGCAATCCAGCATTATCTGAACGCTGTACGTATAAAGGGGCGGGTTCAAGGTAGCAGACCAATCACAATCATGAGCGCAGAAGAGAGAGCAACACATTTCTCAGGTGAGGAACAAAAACTTATCCCACAGAAATACGGGGGGGAGGGGGGTCTCACTGTAAAGTCAAACATGATGGTGTCATGAAAGAGACGCCAAATAGCATGACGACTTGGGAGAGTAAAAATTAAACGCAAAAACATTTTTTCATCAAGTTAGATGGACTTTTTAATTCAATAATGCATTAGCCACAATAAAGCTAGAAGCTTATGCCATAATTGCATCATAATAATACAAGAAGTGGGTCATCTGAGTGAAATCATCCAGATTTCTGAGTTTTTTCTTCTTTTTTGCCTGGTGGTTTACCATTATTCCCCCATCAGAGCACAGAGTATTCGAACCCCCTGCTATTTTGCAAGTTCTCCCACATAAAAATCAAAGAAGGGTCTTAAATTGTCATCATAGGTGCATGTCCACTGAAACATAATCTAAAAACCATTTAACTATTTATTTGTATCACACAGCTGCAAATAGGTAATTGAACACCTGAGAAAACTAATGTTAATATAAGGTACAGTAGCCTATGTTTAAAATTACAGGGGTCTAATGTTTCTTGTAGTTTTGCATCATATTTGCACAAACTGCAGGAGGGATTTAGGCCCATTCCTCCACATAGATCTTCCCTTGATCAGTCAGGTTTCTGGTTTGTCACTAAGAAACATGGAGTTTGAGTTTCCTCCAAAGATTATCTAATGGGTTTAGGCCTGGAGACTGGCTAGGCCACACCATACCATGATATGCTTCTTCCAGACCCACTCCTTGGCTACCCTGGCTGTGTGCTTTGGGTCATTGTCATGTTGGAAGATCCAGCCTCCACCCATCTACAATGCTCTCACTGAGGGAAAGAGTTTGTTCCCTCAAATCTCACAATACATGGCCCTGCTCATCCTCTCCTTAATGCAGTGCAGAGGTCCTGTCCTGTGTACAGAAAAACACCCCCAAAGCATGATGCTACCACCCATGCTTCACAGTAGAATAGGTGTTCTTGGGATGGTACTCATCATTCTTCTTCCTCCAAACATGGTTAGTAGAATTGTGACCAAAATGTTCTATTTTGATCTCATCTGACCACATGACGTTCTCCCTTGACTCCTCTGGATCATCCAAATGGTCATTGGCAAACTTAGGACGGGCCTTGACATGCTAGGTTAAACAGGGGAACTTTCTGGGCCTTGCATGATTTCAAACCACGACGTCTTAGTGTATTACCAACAATAACGTTGAAAACTGTGATCCCAGCTCTTTTCAGGTCATGACCAGCTCCTCCCATGTAGTTCTGCGCTTATTTCTCACCTTTCTTAGGATCAAAAAGACCCCACAGGGTGAGATCCTGCATGGAGCCCCAGTCCGAGGGAGATAGACAGTCATGTTTAGCCTCTTCCATTTTCTAGTGATTGCTCCAACAGTCGACCTTTTTTCACCAAGCTGTCTGGCAGTTTCCCTGTAACCCTTTCCAGCCTTGTAGAGGTGTACATTTGTGCTCTAGTGTCTTTGGACAGCTCTTTGGTCCTGGCCATGTTAGTAGTTAAATTCTTACTGATTGTATGGGGTGGACAGTGTCTTTATGCAGCTGACCACATCAAACAGGTGCATCTAATTTAGGACTATAAATGGAATGGAGGTGGACATTTTGAAGGCAGACTAACCAGGTCCTTGAGGATCAGAATTCTAGTTGATAGACAGTTCTTCAAATACCTATTTTTTTTAGGTTATGTCTCTCACAGTTGACATGCACCTATGATGACACCATGATTTCTAAGTGGGAGAACTTGCAAAATAGCAGGGTTTTATAATGCCCACTTTCCTCATTGTATATACATACATACATGGAAATATAACAGGAAAGTGGGATGTTTATTCAGATATTATCATTTTAACTATATAACAGGGTCTCTCCTAAAAAAAAATATATTTTGCAGTAAATAACCACAATGTTCAAAATTATTCAAACTCCATAGCATCCTGATAAGATTTTGTTTGTAAATGAATATGTCTGCAAGCATCAGACCAAGACACAACGCTTAACCATCTGCTTCTGTTTCAGTCTGAATCCATTTACAGCAGCCTCTCAGACACTCCTACAGTACATGTACATAGAAAAATAAATTGACACAGTTTCTCCTGGTTTTCTGCCCATTCTTTGCCTCCTAAACCCCTTTGCCATTAGTTTGTTTCCTTCAGCACAAGGTTTCTACTTGAGAGGC